AAATGCATGCCAAGGCTTAAAGCAGCAACAACGCTACACATAAAAACTGATGATGGTGGAAAAATACACCGAAACGTATTTTGATTAATAAATAGACAATAAATGACTGAAACCCAGGAATAAATTTGATTTGGAATTGAAACACAGTCAGGAAAATATATACAATGTATTTTATAAAAGTATACAAGGTGCATATAGATATTTTTGCACCTTGTGAGTTTGATAATGTTGGAAATACCAGTTTTAAATAGTCCCACAGACTTTCAATAAAAACCCATTAAATTCGACTAGTTATCTGTATATCGGAGCATTCAGCTCTAAATCCACAGCGTTGCTCGCGATGTCTTATCAGTTTATATCAACACTTATCGACCGTTCGAAACACTACTTACCTCCCCTACACTACTTAGAAGTAGAGCTTGTGTGTTTGTTTCGGGAGAAAACGGCTGCATATCGCTGGACCGCTTTGCCTATGCTCATCGGCGATCTCTCTACTAATCTCTATTATAAGCTTGTTATGCTTAGATTATTGAGATAACCGTTTTCGCGGCACCGGTCTGTAGATGTGCCCAGAAAATTTGGTGGACCAATCACACACAATCGGCGCGAAAAAATCTCCGCTCAACTATACTTCGCTATTGTAGTTAGGACTTAACTAATCCCTTGTATGTTCAGGTTCGCTTTGGCGATACGTTCGTGCTTCCATGTCGATAGTGGGGATTTTTCCTCCCCTTTGTGACCCTGCGGACGGTCATATGTTAGTCGACGGGTGTTATATTAATAACGTGCCAGGTAATGTTTTAATTCACTTACCTAGCTAGGATTCTCATTGCTTTTGCCCGCCTACAGGGGCGAAATTATCACATCATTCTTTACGTCGGTTTTTTGATGAACAAGGCCCGAGAAGGTTTTTCGTTCATAGGAAGCAAAACAGTAGAAGCTCTTGCCGGCACGTGCTATGTTAGAGATGTGATTGTATTTTTTAGCTGATGTTATGAGAAGCATGGGCGCCGATCACATTCTAGCTATAGATGTGGGATCAGTGGACGACCAGGACTTAACAAACTACGGCGACGTTCTGTCCGGCTGGTGGCTGCTTTGGAAGAGATGGAATCCTTTTGCGAAGCCCGTTAGAGTGCCGAATCTCCCCGATATTCAGTCTCGACTTGCCTATGTTAGCTGCGTCCGACAGTTAGAGGTGAGCTGAAATACACCCGGTCAAGCAATGACCGCGATCATTTTTTCAAGCCGCAGCCAATTTCAGGAAGTAAAGAGCAGCGACTATTGCGAATACATCCGTCCACCCATCGATAAATACAAAACGCTTCAGTTCGGCAGTTTCGACGAAATTCGGGAAGTTGGCTACTTGCACGGAAGAGCGTTCTTTGAGGGGCAGAGCCGCGCCGGCAACTTGCCTACGTTTAGGTCGTCTGAAAAGTACAAGTCGCAGTTGAGCGATCAGTCCCAATACACGTTCACGGATCTAGCGCAGATGGTCTGCAAAGTTTCCAGGTGAGTGTTTCGTGCACGGCTCGAAAGCTGTTTAACTATGATGAAACAATTCATCAGGCCCTATGAGGAGGAGTCTTCGGCATCTAGTTCGTCAGAGTCGGACGATGAGGATGAAGGCAGAGGCGGGTATGCTTCGGAACCTACAGGCGGATTTTCCAATGTAAGTTTGCTATCAGTTTTCAAATTCAAAAGAGATAGACTTTCGAGGCCATTCCTTGAAGCTAATGGGATTTTAGGCTGTATTTCGTAAAATGGAATTTCTTTCTGAC